GCGGGGGACCCGGTGCGCATCTGGTTCAGGGTGGGCCGGCCCTGCTCGCCTGGGCCGAACGGGTTGGTGGGGGAGGGGGCGCGGAGACCTGGAACGACAGTGGAGGGGGCTTGGAGCGGCGGCAGGGGCTTGGAGAAGGGGAGGGGCGGAGGCTGGGCTCTCCAAGCAGCCCCCGTCCCCCCGCGCTGGGGGACGCCGAGGGGGATCCTACCCGTCAGGAAGGGGTTCCGGGTCTTCGCGGCCTGGGACGGCTTGACCAACGAGTCAAGGTTGACCAAGGAAGAGGCGGAGGGGCCCAGGAAGGACTCGGGGGTTGGGCACGCTGCTCGGGCCTCCTTGCTGGACGGGGTCAGCGCGTCCCCAAGGACATCCAGGTCAAAGGCGTCTGGCTCCTTCGTGCCGTTTTGCTTGGAACTGAGGCTGGGCTCTCCAAACAGGTCCAGCTCTGGAACAGAACGCTGGAGCTCATTGGTTGGGAGAGGGATTGCCCCCACGCAGGAAGAAGAGGGCAGGAGCCACCCCGGGAGGGCCCTCGCTCCCCAGAGCCCCTGTCAGCTTCCTGCTCACCCACGGGGCTGCTGGGCTTCCTGGAGGACAGGGCACACTCAGGCCCCTCCGTGGCGTCCGTGGATTCTGGACGTTTGGCAAACGGGTCAAAGGCTGGGTCAAAGGCCGAGGCACCACCTAGGGCCAGCCCGGCAGGGAGAGAGAAGGGGGTTGGCAAAAAGACGTTGGTCTGACTCCTCTCCAAGGAAGCAGCCCTTTAACACTGGAGGGAAGGGAGCCCCGAAGCCCCCAGCCTCCCACTCACACCCTCTGGCCCTCTGCTCACCAGGTGTGTCAGAGGTCTCCATGGAGGACCCCCAGGGGTCAGCCGCAGTGCTGGGAAGTTTTCGACGGGGAGAGTTCAGTGCCCAGGGGTCTGCGACAGGGGGCCCAGCGGAAAGCACTGGGGTCCTGCCCCAGGGCTCAGAGGAGGAGAGCATGGGAGGCAAGTCCCAGGGCTGGCTTCGGGACAGGCTGTGTCCGGAGGGGACCGGCAACCAGGGGTCTGCAGAAGGCCCCCAGGAGGAGCCACTGGCCTCTGCATTCGGCCTAAGACCTGAAATGGGAACAGCACAGACATGACTCCAGACCCACCCCTGTCCCTTGTCCGGGACCCTGTCCAGTTCCCCGGCCCAAATTGGGAGGGATGGGGGTCCACGTCCCAGGTGGGCCACAGACTCAGGACCACCCAGCAAGCTGGAGGCCGTATCCAGCAGGTTATCCCAGGAGCCTGGACCTCGGGCATGGGCGACTCAGGCCACCTCCCACTCACTCACAGGCTGAGTGAGTGAGGGTGCCGGACATTCTCTGGGCTCTTAGGACCTGCTCCCTGGGCCTTCTGCGAAAGCCATGTGGCAGAGGTAGTGGAGGGCTTGAGGTGGTGGGGGACTTGCCCGGTGGCCCTCAGCGATTGGGAGGAGGTACTTTGCCAGCGAGTGGCTGGGTAGGAGGGGGCTCTCGCTCCAGGCCGGGAGCCGCTGGCAGGCCTGCGTGCCCACCTGGGATGTCCCATGGGTCAGCAGAGCAGTGTGTGGAGGGCGGGGCCGGGACAGGTGCGAAGATGTCGGCCAAGTCCAGGATGGAGGACTGTGGAGGGGAGAGACAGCCAAGGCTCAGCAGGGGGCGGGGCCCCGAGGGAGGGCAGGCCCTGACCTGTGAGCCCAGCCCAGCTCATTCTCTGCTGCATTCATTCCACAAATACCTGCTCACAGCCCGCACCTCTGTCCGGTGCTTTATAGTTTACAAAATGTTTCCTCATCCGTGGAGTGCCTGGTTTTCACAACAACTCTGTGAAGTAGGGCAGGCGATGTGCCCATTTTATAGATGAGCCAGCTGAGGCCCAGAGATGGGAAAGGGCTGGCCTGAAGTCACACAGCCAGAGAGAGGCAGCCCTGGGGTAGAACCAAGGCCAGCAGAAGGGAGCCAGGAGGGAAAGGACAGATCTTCTGCAATGAGCCTACCTCCCCTAGGTCAGTGCCCAAGAGAAATTGGCCACAGTGGACATGGGCGGAAAGGAGACAGAGGTGCCCGGGGTGGCGTGGACAGCTTTGGGGGGTGGCTTTCCCCCAGCAGTGACCTACTCCCCCATCCTGGAAAATAAGTGTAGGAGCCCAAGATGTTTCCAGCACCCAGTGCCTGAGCCCACCCCAGTCTCGACAGACAGTATCACATAATCCTAGCGTGTCAGAGCTGGAACTCTCCCACAAGCCCCCTGTGCAGAAGAGGAAACTGAGGCTAAGACAGTGATGTCCCCCAAGTCATCAAGTAAGTGGCATCAGATCCAGAACCCAAGTCCAGGGAGCTCAGATCAAGATTCCTTTTCTGTCAGCTCAGTCACCAGCCCACGCCGTGACCAGGGGCTGCTCCCCTCTCTCCTCACCACCATCTTCATTTAACCCTTAAGTAGTGCTTGCTGTATACCAAGACTGTTCTGCACTCTTTGCAAATCCTCTCCAGGCCCTGTCCAGCCACGTGCCCCGACCCGTTCTCTACCTGGCTGGTTTTCAGCTTCTCTTCCTCCTTTCTCTCTTCTCTCTCGGGCTCTCTGTCCCGCCGATGGCGGACGGTGGCCCCAGCACCATTGGCCATGGGGGAGTCATCTCCCCGCCAGGACCTCCCCTCCTGCAGAAGGCACAGAAGGAGAGGGCACATGAGAGGTCCAGGCTGGACTCAAGGACCTGCACCCCCGGGGCTGGAGTCACGGAGAGGGCGCAGGATGGGTGGCACAGAGAGTTAGGTGCAGCAGAAGGAGCCTGTTAGTGCCGGGGTAGCACCTCCACCAGCAGCAGCAGCGGCAACACTGGAGCCCAGGGCTTGGCCCTCTACCTTCTCGTGTTCCTGCCTGCTCAGGTGCAGAGCCAGCTGCAGCTGCAGGTCCTCGTCCCTGTGGGAGGCTGGGGGGACTGGCTGTGAGGGAGGAAGACAGGGGTGAACATGGCCCAGCGCTCCCACCCACAGCCCTGCCCAGGGCGGGGGGTGGGGAAGGTGGGGATGCAGAGACAGAGGTGCCCACCCAGTGACAGCAGCATGGGCCTCCTTCCTGCCTTGGTCTGAGATGCAGTTTAAAAACCAAGAAGAGGCCAGGCACGGTGGCTCAAGCCTGTAATCTCAGCACTTTGAGAGGCGGAGGCAAGAGGATTACCTGAGCTCAGGGGTTCGAGACCAGCCTGGGCAACTCGGCAAGACCTCATCTCTACAACAAATCAAAAAAATAGCCGGGCATGGTGGCACATGCCTGTGGTTCCAGCTTCTTGGAAGGCTGAGGCAGAAGGATCACCTGAGCCCGGCAGGTCGAGGCTGCGGTGGCCGCGAGCGTGCGACTGCACTCCTGCCTGGGTGACAGAGTGAGACTCCTCCTCGAACAACAAAAACAAAAAAACCAAGAAGACTGATCACTTTCATGCGGATCCCCTGAGGGCCCCCAAACCCTGCTGTGTGAGGCCCCGCTGCTTCCTGCCTAGTCTTCATGGATCCATAGAGGTAATGGCAAAGAAGGTGATATCAGGGACCATCCATGTCCCCCCAAAGAACAACTGACGGGGGACAGCATATCTCAGTATCCCTTAGGAATGTGCCTATGAGCACACTCCCCCTCCCCACCAAGAGGCCCCCAACAGCATAGTGGCCCAGCTGGAGAGGACTGGAGGCAGGGGGGCTGGTCCTGCCTGGGACGAACCCAAGGACGCTGATGGGTCCTATGCTGTTCTTGGGAGCAGGAGTGGGGCTTCCAGGCCCAGGTCAAAACTGGGGATACCCAGACACCTCTCCCTCCTCACGTGCCCACCTTCCCCCCCCCCCCCCG